AGGCCTGGCGCAATATGGTTCATGGGGTCACGAAGAGTCGGACACGACTTAACGACTAAACAACAATTCTCCTCTTTTGTTTGTTGTGATGATTACCGGTAAAAGACCATGGAGAGGACACCATAATAAGTTCTTAAAAGCAACAAATTAATTCCAACCATAAGTGTACTTAATATAGCTACCATGCTGAGGCAAAACAGATTTGGGTTGCCCAGAGCCCTGATGGGAAAAGATGGAAGCAAGGAACAGTGTGAATGAGTTAAAGTAACTCTTCCAGCCACTGAAGATTATGATGATTTTCATTCATTTTAGAGGTCACGTGACTCCAGATGATTCTGGGTGGCTTTTATATTAAAAAATTAAGAACAATTAAAAGAAGAAACAGATAATACGCATCCAGAAGACACTCAATTCAAACATCTACAGGGGTTCAACCACCATTTGCCTCAAGGCCTGGGAGAACAGCCAAGTTTTCAATGACCTTCTGAACATAATCAGGTGGGAGACATACTAATTTCTGAGTAGTATGATTGTATCCTCTTATAGCTTAATTTTTTCAATAATCGTTGTTGAGGGAAAACGGTATGTCTGAGCATCAAGGATGAATTAAAATTATTTGTATCTCTGAAAGACATGGGATAGGAAACTGAACAGTAAATAAACAAGAGAACAGAAGTTACAGCAGAAATTCATTAATATTTAGTATATTTCAATAAAAAATAGTTATGAGAGCCAAAGCCAAGCTGTATTCATAATACAGCAAATGATTTATAAACTAATTATATTCTCTCTCTCCCTCCCTCTCTTTCTCTATGCATGCACACAGAAGTGCCTCAATCCAAAATTGTACGTATGCTGTAATTATTTAATTACACAGAAAAGGCTCATACTCAGAATTTGTCTCACAGTATTTCACAGGTTCCTAGGGCTGGCTCAAAGACTCATCCTTTGCTCTCCAAAACACTATTATCACTTTCCGTGCTCCTCTGACATATTTCTGAACTAGAACCATTAGCTTCCAGTGCTTATAGTTCTTGCCATTCCCAAACAGCATATCTAGTGGCCAATGGAACACATTTTACTTGAAAGCCACAGGAAGTAAGTGGAAGCTTTCTGATGTATTTCTGTAATGTTGTCTTGAATTAGGTATCTACAGAAACAGAAGCTTGGAACAAAAGACACAGTACCAAGACTGAACACTAGGCAAATCAATTTCTAGGTCTAATGTGGTTTGATTTTCTGTCCTACTAAGATGCTTATAGGCAAGTATAATGATCATGCACTGGACTCTTAAACAAGGTTCTCAGATTTACTAACACCAATTAAAAATAATTACACCTCTTGCACAGGAACCTTTTCTCCTCCTCTCACCATAATTACTCCAGCTCCTATTACAACTATCTCCATAGCCTGATGCTCAGTAATCATATTCCTAAATTTAAAGCCAATTATAACAGACCCAGGGCAAAGGAATGAACCACTGAGGATTGTTCTCTTGTGCTACTATGGGGTAGCTATATTAAAATAAAGAGAATAATGATCTGGAGAAATAAGTGAAGAAGAATATTAGGTACCAGGAGACAGCATAATAGGTTTGTGCACTTGCTTGGCACAACAGGCAGAAGACTGGACCAGGAAACAGTCAAAAGTTTACAAGCTTTCCTGCATGCTTCTCTGCAAGTTGCCTCAGCCAATTTTCTTGTGGTTGTTACGGGGATAAAATGAGAAGAGCCCCCTGTGTTCTCCACTGTGAGCTCCAAGCAGAAAAATGTACTGTATATAAGTGAAAAAGCAGACAAGAAAGGATCTCAGAAGTAGATTTTTAAGCAGCAAAAATATGAGCTCTATGCAATCCTGGCTTTGAAAATCATTTTGGGGGCTCAATATTTAAATCTAAGAATTCTTAGTGTTAGATGAAAAATGGCCTGCTGCCATCCTAATCTTCAGAGTCATGTTTATCTCCAAAAATTATCCACGTGCATTCCATCTGCATTCATAGGAAAAGAAAACAATGGCAGGCTGAATCCCACTCCTTTGTTTCCAAGTGTGCTCATCTGGCCAAAAAAAAAAAAAGGTCAAGATCTGAGTGTTGGTAGGGAGCACCTTGGGATGCTAGAGGCAGTGATGGATAGTAGTTTGCCTTATGGTTGACCAATGTCTTATAGCTTGCTCAGCCTACAATGGAGCCATTTTGTGAATGGACAAGCTGTCTCCAGGCAGCCATTTTGTTTGAGCATCCACAACATTCTCCCAACATTTCAAACATGCTGCCAGCTCCAAACATTTAGGGATCCCCACTCTAGACGGTGGTGAACTTGCTCCATTGTGCCAATTTCAAGAGAGGCACATAAAAACGTCTGGAGGCAGAAATCTATTGATTGGAATAGCACAGTAGCTACATATGGGTAGAATATTGGTGTTCTTGCTGCTTTGTACCTGAAACACTTGATCTATTTTGCTCTTTTCGGACACTTATTGGCTTTAGTCATTTCCTGAAAAGCACTGATGTTTGCTGGGAAGCCCAGAATAATCACAGTGTTGGGAAATGATGTGGCAAATACACAAAACCATGATTCCATTTCATACTATTAAAAGGAGGAGGGAATGGAGGACCCAGAAGGAGGTTAGGAGAAAATAAATCACACACCTGCCCATCTCCAAGGATATTCTGGAACACACAGGCTAATGTTTATTTCAAGGCACTGGAAGGAAAGGATGGCCAGATGGTAGCTGAAATGCAGCAACGCACCGTAGTGCTGAATCACAGTAATGGAAACTCCTGCACTTAAGTTTTTATTGCACTGTTGGGCAAACAGATTTCCTGGGTGAAGACAGGCATAATTTAAAGCCAAGAGCAATGTTGACATTACCCTAGAAGTACTCCTAGATACACACATGCTGCCAGCCTCACAAGGTAGACCAGACCAGGAAATCAACTCCATAGGAACCCAAAATTACTTTTGAGATTAACTATAGGAACAGGATCTAGCAAGTCTGATTGTGTTGTACCTCCTCCTCCTTCTTATAGTTCAGTGACTTAAGGAGGTGTCTCTGAGCTACTTCTGAATGTTATTTTGTTCTGGACTTAAAAATACTTCAGCCTCCTTTGCCTAGGCAACAGATTCTACATACCTCTTTTACAGTCATCTTCCTTATTCTCTACACATGCTTAGTTCTACTTTGGAATAGAATAAGCAGAATGAGAGAATATCTGTGTTCATACAGCATGCTATGCTTCTGAATGTGGTTAGCAAGGCTATGTATGCTGTTATTTTGGCCCCTATCTTGTATAGCTTTGTAAACCAAGTCCAGAGAGGTATACATATCCTATGAACCCAAATTATGTCAATTTCTGTTTGTGGGAACCAGAATTTGAAGCCAACTTTGTTTCACATTCCAGTTCCTGCATTGTCCATTCTGAATCCTTTGGCACAGCCTTAGATAAACCTTTGAACTCAGTCAAAGAGTTGGGCAGGACAAGAGGTACAGTGGCCTACCTTTGGCCCTGCTTATTACAAAGGTAAGTATGTATTATTACATTGATGAAAACTCAGCCAACAGGTGAATCAGTCATTTTTTTGCTGGATCCCAGATGTGGACAATAGAGCCATTCACACAGCTGCTCACATAGGAGAAATAGCTGAATCTTGTCTATTTAATTTTACTCTTTGGTTTTGGTTTAGCAAGATGCACAAATCCATCCACTGTAGTTTAGAAACTATGGTGGACAGCTTAATGCAATATGTGAAGGTAGAACATATTAAATAAACTGTTGTATTGTGTAAGATCCAAACAGTGGGTCATTCCCCCATCTATCTTTCCCTTGCTTTTCTTAAAAGCAAAATAACAATAAGTTATCCCTAACTACAGAACAACAAATCAAAGAAACAAAGAAGGAAAACAACAGCCCCCAAACATGAAGAAATTGGTGAAGTAACTATTGCTAGCTGAATGAATTTGACCTTCTAGCTGAAGATTAAAGTCCTAAACAAGTGATTTCTGTAGAAACTTGGAACTCTGCATTTAGACTGTAATACTGTTCAGTGGAGGAAAAGAATTACCTTCCACTACTATTATATGGTTGCTTTTATGTGTTTGCATTAAGGATCTTCCAAAAGCTTTGAAAGTCCACCCTCTCTAAAGTTATTTTGGAAAGCTGTCTTTTGGTGCCATCTTCAGGCTAATCATAATCTCCTGACAAGAAGATCAAATGAAGTGTTTCCATATATATTTCTTTTATTTCAAACTTCTGTATATTGCTTCCCATTAAAATAAAAAAAAAAACTCACAGGAGTTTCCAATAAAATGCAAATTATTAAAAGAGTACATTAAAACTGGTAATAAAAACATCCATTGTAACATGATATAAAATATACAAAATAAAATACACCATAACTTGGTAAAGGGAGTAAAAGCAGTAATAAAAAAATAGACAAAAAACATAGCAGCATATAATGCACTTTTAAAAGATCTGGGGAAACAGAAATGCCTTCACCAGGTGCTGAAAAGACAAACAAGACAGAGCTTGGTGTATCTCACAAGGGAAGACAATCCAAAGTTGTGGGGAGAATTGTTTAAAAGGCCTTCTTCTGGATAGCCCCTCAACGTGGGAGGGCACTCAGAAGAGGCCTTCCCAAGATGATCCAGGGGGACAGGTAAGAACATACAGGAACATGTGGTTCCTTCAGATATTAGGGTCCCAGGCCATATATTTATAGGTTCAAACCAGGACCTTCCATTTAGACCAGAAACAAACTGGGAGCTAAAGATTGATAAAGAACTGGCAAGGTATATTCACATTACCAATTTTGTCAATTGTCCTGTTGCAGAATTTTGTACTCTAGAAGTTTCTTCAAGGGCAGCTCCACCAGAAAGCAAACCAGGGCAAGTTATAGCAAGCCCTGCCCCACAATGACATCTCTTCACAAGCTCCCCCCCCCCCAGAACATGCCTGCATCATGGGCTGGATCTTGGTTAGTGACTTTACTCCACATGCTTAGGTGTCTGAAAAACACTTCTTATTCCTTTCTTGCTGGCAAAAAACAAGCCAGCCAGCTTGTTTTAACTGCCATTTGTTGGCTGAGAACAGACGCATAGCAAGCTTGTTTTTTGCCAGCAAGGAATAATTAAAGTGCTTTTTTTTTTTTGCCACTGTTTGATTTTTAAAAAAAAACTTCAGGGAATCCAGCTGACTATAGTGAGGGTGCCCATGAGCCTCCCATAGATTGCAAAATGTCTAACATATATATATGCATATGTGTATGTTGGAAGTATAACTGCCTTTCCTCCCCCTACACTTATACTTACCCATAGTACTTATAAATCCCCAATACCTGAACACTTACATAGCAATGCTGGTTTAAACATGATCATAGCTATACATTTTAGAGAGGGCAGCTTCCCAATCAGTTCCTGGGATGCAATAATTTCAGTGTTCCTCTCCTGAGTGGGTTCAATGTGTGCAACCATCCAGATACATATGGGCGAGCCCATTTTGTGGTTAGAGCGTTATCAGTATCCTGGGCTGCTATTTTGTGCTATTTCTGTTGTTTTTAATCAATAATAATTTATTAAACTTGTATGCTGCCCAGCTTTCACATTTATTCAACTTTATGCTGGCCGACTCTCAATGGGCGGCTCACACAATCCGCAAAGTTACTTGTATGCCACCTGACTCTCAAATTTATTCAACTTACATGCCACCTGACTCTCAACGACTTTGGCCAGCTCACAACAATCAAACAAAAAAATTACAATAAAACCTAAAAAAAAAACAAGATGATGATTATGATTTATTCAACTTGTCTGTCGCCCAACTCTCAACTACTCTGGGTGGTTCACAACAAAGAAGTTACAATAAAACGTTAAAAAAATAAAGAAAATCATCATCACCATCGTGTTTCAATCATTAGCTGCCCAGTCAGGTATACGAGATAGGCAACCATATGCATTTATTAAATAAATGAACAAGGATGGATGAACACAACCCTGTGGTTGTAGCTGGGGCCCTGGGCTGGGGCAGAGCCCTTCTCCGGCTGTGTGGACGAGTGGCTGGATAACGCCGCGTGTTATATTTTTTATACGGTGTGTTTTATGTGCTTTTATTGTAAGGCGCCTAGAGTCACGTAAAAGTGAGATGGGCGCCTATGTAAATCGAATGGGCACCTAAATAAGTAAACTCGCTCCCCGCGGGGCCACTGGAGAAGGACGATGGGACTTGTAGTTCCCCAGACACCTGGCCATCTCCTACCTTCCCGCTTTAAGAGGGCCTCAGGGGGCGGCGTGCTTTGGGGCGCTGCCGCCGGGCCCCGGGAAGCCCCTGCCCGTCCTCCCGCGTGAGAAGCCCGGACGCCTGCCTCGCCCCCGCCTCTGCGGCGGGACTACACCCCCCATGCCGGCAGGAGGGCGATGGCAGGTGGAGTGCGCCG